TCCCTCGGAAACCTCCGTTCCCCCGCTCCGGCCCCACGCCGCTCCCGCCGCTCACCCGCCGCGGGCCCGAAAGGGCCGCGCACGCGCGCTGCGCCGCTCTTATAGCGCGCACCAGGCCCCGCCCACCCCGGGCCCCGCCCACCCCCTGCGCCAATGGCAGCAGCGGAGCGCGGGGGGCGGAGCCACGGCGCCTCCGCGCAAACCACGCCCCTTTTGCCTTTTATGGGCATCCATTGCTTTCAATGCAGCAGCGAAGGGCGGGAAGCGAAACCACGCCCCCCGGCATAAACCACGCCCCTTTTGCCTTTTATGGGCATCCATTGCTTTCAATGCAGCAGCGAAGGGCGGGAAGCGAAACCACGCCCCTTTCGCCTTTTTGTGGGCATGCTCATTTGCATATGCGCATGGCGCCAAGTGAAGCCACGCCCATCTCTGTACAAACCACGCCCCTTTCGCCTTTTGTGGGCATGCTCATTTGCATCAGCAAAGGGCGCCAAGCGAAGCCACGCCCACCTATGTACAAACCACGCCCCTATCGCCTTTTGTGGGCATGCGCATTTGCATATGTGCATGGCGCCAAGTGAAGCCACGCCCACCTCTGTACAAACCACGTCCCTTTCGCCTTTTGTGGACATGCTCATTTGTATATGTGCAGGGCGCGAAGTGAAGCCACGCCCACCTCTGTACAAACCACGCCCCTTTCTCCTTTTGTGGGCATGCTCATTTGCATCAGCAAAGGGCGAAAAGTGAAGCCACGCCCACCTCTGTACAAACCACGCCCCTTTCTCCTTTTGTGGGCATGCTCATTTGCATCAGCAAAGGGCGCCAAGTGAAGCCACGCCCACCTCTGTACAAACCACGCCCCTTTCGCCTTTTGTGGGCATGCTCATTTGCATCAGCAACGGGCGCCAAGTGAAACCACGCCCCTTTCACCTTTTATGGGCATTGTTCCATCGCTAGCCACGCCCCCACACGCTCGAGGCCGTTTTGGCAAAACTTTATTACCAAAAAAACCAAAATTTTACAGCCGGGGGAGCCGGGGGGAATTTGGGGGGTCCCGGGGGTCCCCAGGCCCCTCCCCCCAGCTGCTACACGGGGGAAACGTCGATTTTTGGGGCTTTTTTTTCCTCTTTTTTCCTTTTTTTTTTGTCTTTTTCTGTTTTTTTCTACAAAACCCCAGGGAAGGGGGAGGGGGGGAGGGGCTGGCCCAACCCCCCCGCGGCCGGGCCGGGTTTTGGGGTGAATTTTGGGCATTTTGGGGGTGGTCCCGGGGGGTCCCGGCGGCGGCGGGGCTTGGGGGGTCCTTATCGGGTCTGTTCGACTGCAGGGAGAGAAAAGAGGGGAGGGGGGTCAGGACCACCCCCCAAAAAAACCCAAATCCTCCCCAAATTGGAGACGTTCGTCTTGTGGGGCGGTTCACCCCAAAAACTGCAACCCTGGACCCCAAAATCCTCCAAAAACCACCCAGGACACCCCAAAAACCACCCAGGACACCCCAAAAACCACCCAGGACACCCCAGAAACCACCCAGGATCCCCCAAAATCCATCCAGGGCACCTCAAAATCCCCCCAGGAGCCCCAAAATCTTCCCAGGACCCTCCAAAATCCC